ACGGCCTTCTTCTATGGCTGGATCACGCTATTAACTTGGCGTCTGGCATCACCGATGTCCAGACAGAAACCCGCAAGCTTCTTGTTCAGAATTCCTTTTTCTTCCAGCATATTCGAGATAGAGGTGCCCGCAATACACAGCGAGCACTAGGTCGCAAAGGGGTTCGAAAGACGAATTTCCTTGACATTGACAGCATCGTTATGCCCGTATGCGAAAACAAGCATCGGACTCTCATTGTGGTCCGCCCGCAGAAGAGAATCGTGTCACACATGGATTCACTGACAGATTGCGCCAACGAGAGGTTATAAAGCAACGGCATTACATGAGCAGCTAAATGTTAAGGAGTTACAAAATTCACGCTACCCATTAGCTCTTATTTCTGGTCAATACAATGGAAAAGGTTGTTTTCATTTCGAGGCTCCTAGCGGACGATTCGTTTGCCCTTTTCCAACTGCTGTAGTTCCTTTTCGAGCTCCGCCCTTCGCCTTTTTGCCCCTAATTCCTCTCCTGCAATCTCTTCAAGCTGTTCGCTCGTCATTGCTGCAACGAACTTTGGTGAAAACAATTTTAACGGTGTGTCGTGCCCAATTACTAGGTAATGGTCGGCGACTTGCATGCGGACGTTGTCCACAAAGCGCTTTCTAGACAACTTGTAATAAGACCGTAAAATGTCGTGGATCTCCAGAATTATATGGTCGTCATTACTTAGAGGATGGCTCTGGAGAAGATCTTTTAGCCGAACAACCTCTCCATGCGAGCAGTCTGAAAAGCTCTTTGAAGAAAGTTGGCTCTGTAGCCGTTGCTGGCGACTTCAGTTATAAGTTAGATGAATAATGTCGCAACGAGACTTGAAATACCTTTTGTCCAATGTGTCTTGGAAGTAATGATTATACGTGGCAGGTGTACCTTCCAGTTCAACAGAAAGAAGAAAGTCTGCGTGCTCAAGAGCCACTTCGTATCGTCTTCTCAAATGATCAAAGAGGACAGCAGCCAGGTTATCTCTGACGTGGCGATTGCCGGGCAGGATATGTTGCAATAGCTCGATCACAAAGTTGTGAACCAATGCGATCATATCGCTAATGTAACCTTGCGTAATCCCGCGCCACTTTTTCGCTTGGGTTTTCATTGTTGTGGCAAGTAGGGATGAGTCGAAAGTGCCAAGCTCAAAGCCGCGTGAGCGTCGGTAGACCGACTTCAGCCAACCTAGAACAGCATGGTCATAAGGACAAGATAGCTCAGCGCACTCCGAGACAAGATCTTCAATGTCTGGGTGATCTGCAACTTGTCGAGTGGTGAAAGTTTTGGTTCCGCTGAGCGCAAGACTCTCGAAGGCCACCTCTTCAATGCTTGGAATTTCGCTCCCAATCTCAAAGTTGATCACATGGCCATGCAAAGCCATTTCCTCAGCAAAGGCCTTGCCACGGTTGACCGTCGCCGTAGCAAGGCGAAAGCTGTCGCTGTTGCTGAAGAAATCGTCTCGTCCATAATCCGCACGAGTAGCGAGTGCTGCAATATCTTGAAACTTAGCCGCGATGCCCACAAGAAACTCGCGTTGCTCTAAGTGACTCTGTCGTTTCGGCCCCAGAGACCTGTGAGCCTCATTCACGCGCTTGAACTTCGCGTTGATTTCGGCTTTGACCTGAGTTCACTGTCAGTGCAAGCTCGAGATGCAGCGGGAGGAAGGCTAACTTTCGGAAATTCGCTGCGAATATGGTCTGCCAATATTTCCTGAAGGCGAAGTCGCAGAGATTTAACACCAATGGTATCTTTGTCCAGCTTGTTCCACGGGGATACAGAATCGAAAAAGCTTCTCTCGAGGGTAGGTCTGGATTCGACTGAGTCAAGAAGGTCTGCTTGGCCAGGATTGCGTAGCAGATGCCAACCAAGCTTTAACTTCTGGCGTTTACCTTCGATTATCTCAACCACCGTCATCTCTGCTCCTTGATCTACTAGATCCGGCTTTGTCAGCACCCCGAAAGTCCTATGCCCATCAGGGTCGAGGTCTTCGGCTTTTTCGATGATTTCTTGATTGGCAATATCGACGTTACAGGGAACAACAACCAACATGACAGACCGTGGGTTAGCCATATAGCCGTGAACCATCTCATCCACAAGGGTAATATCCGCTTTGGTGGTCACTCCAGCTGTCGTTCTCTTGAAAGTCCCTGGAACGTCGATGATGCTGAAATGCTCCTGGCTCGGACTAGCTATTTCAATCGCAAGAATGTCGTTGGAGAAGGGTGATACGACGCCATCGGTTGTCGGGAAATACATCATTGTCGTGGCCTAGCCTTGTCAGCCTCTTTGTTTCCAGATATTGTCAATGTACACACCTCTTGCATGATGGCCGCCAGAGACTTGGCGTCGAAAGACTCCATATTTCTTTCGCCCCAAGATTTCATCTCCTGTTGGTGATCACTCGAACTGTCTTTGGCTGGTATGATTGAGATCGTTGTGGCATCGCTGTCTGAACGTCGGAAAGTAATCTGGGTTGCGAAGCGAGTACACAACCCGCTGTCTCTTGGAAATGGAAGGCCAGTCAAGCCTTCTAAGACAGAGCTTTTGCCACTAGATTGTTGCCCGACAACCACCAGCTGCGGCAAGTCAATATAATCGCCGACGTTGCAGGCGAAGAGGGCGTCAATCTTCTCTAAGAGAGAGGAATGCACAAGGCTGGGTGACGAAGCTTCCATCGTGTATAGGTGGTTAAAACCCGTTAAGCCAACACGTCTTCATACTACTTTCTCTGGTCAGTCTATCGGCAGAAGTATCGTGGGCGGCATGCGAGGGAATCATGCTGTGTCTGTCACGGGTTTATGCCTACTGATAGCTGTTGGCGATTGAAGATCTCGATCTATAAGTGACATCACGGGGGAAGAAGGGGCGCGCCTTTCCCTCGCAGGCTTCACCGCCTATTTGAGCCGGCTTAGTCTCAGGAAAACACTGTCCCTAGCCGACCAACACCTAATACAAGGCCCCGCTACAGCAGCCAACGACGCCTTGATCGGATGTTGCTTAACATGGCCGAGGGCTGTAACTCAAAGTAGGATACGATTCAAGCCCGACATCTTGTGCTTGTCTCGGTTGCGGTGATAAATTTTCCTGACACTCCAATATTATCTCCGCACGAAACTTTGCTCCAGCCATTGGACGCGTCAAGTTGAAGTATCCCTCGTTGCTTCTGCACTGACCGCTGATATTCCATCCCTTCACAGGTAGCGCTAGTGTGCCGTGTCTTGCAGTGCCGTGGTTGTGGCTTGCTTGACTTTGGGCATCTAGCCAATCTACGTTCCCATGGTTTACAAACGGGCCGTCATACAACTTTCACCTTATCAAAGCTATCAGTCATCATAAAGTCCTCTGCATTGTAGTTGGTCACGATGAAGGTGCTGCTATCCTGTGCGCTCGTCAGTGTCACGCCAAGCAGGGTCCCCGCGCGGCTCGCTTCAGCGGAATCCACAATGCTTCGACGCGCGCCGTACGCCTCTTGTTGGATGGCTTCGAGCTAGTCGGCGGCATACTTGTAATCGACAAGCAGGGATTTCACGAGCTCCACGGCAGGCGCCACGAAGGGCGCGGCGCGGAAGAGCGACCGCACGATGCGCGTGTAGCGAGATGTCTCGAACGCGAGCCTAGACGACGTTTCGAAAGATTGGATGCACTGGTCCACGGACCAGCCGTTGATGCACAGCGCACATGCAATGAGGGCCCCTGTGAGGATGAGCCCACCCGTCCACGCCAATCCAAGGGCACACGTACCTGAGCTCGTGCCGAAGACAACGTCAAAGTTCTGCTGGACGGGGTAAGGCAGGCCGATTGCTTACTGCAGGACACTGAGGAACTCGAGCGGAGCGCGTCCCCTTGTGCCGCCACCATCGATGCTTAGGATGCGTGTGGTGGCGGTGGCGGGTCGGACGCGGATGCAGGTCCCTGCCGTTGCGCCGCACAGCAGACACTCGTCAGCGTGGAACAGATACGGATCGGCCGCATCGGCGCGGGCAAAGGTACAGACGCATGTCTGGCATACCCAGTGCGTACAGGGCAGGCAATACTGGGGTCTACGTCGGGCACAAACGAAGCAGGTGCTTTCCGAGGACGGGAGCTGGCGGTGCCGCTGGACACCCGTCAGATGCTGGCGATGGACTTCTCGTGCCAAACCAAGGCGCTGAACCTGTGAGAATTGCTCGGTCATACTGTGCTCTAGACGCCGACAGAGGTCAAACGCCAGCAGCGGCATCCCAGCGGCCGCTCGAATCTCGTCCAGCGCAAGGGCGGTTTGGGCGCAGGCATCACGGTACAAGGAACGAAATACGTCAGGGGGAGCGAAATCTAGGGAGCATGTCAGTAAATTCGCCGGTGCGCTTGCAGCGGGCGAAGCTTACGGTGCATCCCAGGAGGATACTGGTCTAGCAGGAGGCTTGAGGCGGCGGTGGGAACAGCACACGACTCCAGGGTGGCTTCGGCGTGTCCTCGGAAGAAGTGTGTGAGGTGTGTTGCTAGATCGGAAGCAACAGGGTTGGCTGCGCGCGCCATCTGGATCGAGTCTACCGGCGACCGCGGCGACCTACCTAGATCCTGCGATGCCGCTTGGAGGAATGCGACAGTATGACGAGCGGAAAAGAGGAAGCTCTTGTCGCGCCGCTCGCGGTGGACGACGCAGATAGCCTCATGGACTTTCCTCCGAAGGGTTCCTAATTGCTTTCTCTGCCACATCCTACGTTGGGTTGGCGAGAATGTTACGATAACAATGGACTGGAAAAGACGAGTCAGCGATGCCGGGCCCGCCTGCTGGCTCATGCGGGCTAGTTCCCCGCGCATCCGCTGGTTGTGCTCCCTCGGCACCACGACGAGCAACACCGGGCGGATGGGTGACGTGGATGACGGCTCCGTCGCAGCCCATGAGGCCAGGCACTCTATGGCTCGGTCGGGTCTGCCAATGTCAGCAACGAATAGACATGTAACATCGACAAAGGGGAAGAGGAATCTCTGGTAGACTTCGTTGGCAGCCTGGGCCGCCTGGTGCACATCTGCCAGCAAACAGTCCTCGTCGATCTTGTGGCACCGATACGACTTAGGAGCCGAGGGCAGCCGGTTGTGGACGGGCAGATCTCCCTCGGCGAGGAAGACTGGCTGGGTGATGCGGGCATGGGAGACATGTAGATGGACCTCACCGTGGTGTCGCGCATTGCTGGGAGGCCGGCTCCCTGGACACATGGCGGTGAGCAAGAGGGACTTTGTGTAGTTTCCGATCAGTACTGCAAAGCCATGTGGTTTTTCTGGGTCGCGAACGTGTCCGAGCAGTCGCTGAGGCCTGTCGGACGTAGCCACATATCCCAGAGTTGCGTGAGCCACTCGATGTGCCAGACGGGTTGGACCTCGAACCGGAGTCACCAGAGCCAGTCGATCAGCCAGAGAGACTATTGAAGCAGCTCGTGGAACTGGAACCCGAAGCAAAGCCGACAGAAGATGTAGAGACATTCGAAGTTCAGACCGAAGTCACCCGGCGAGCAAGTTGGTCGAGCCTGCAGGACCAACTTCAGAATGCGTTTCAAGACGAGGGTTCTCCTGCTCCGAGAATGTCGAAAAAAGATCTGAAAAAGAAAAAAAAGAAAAAAAAACTTTTGTTGGCCGGGGATTGCCCGGACCACAGGCCTGAGCTCTCAGGCGAAGGCGATGGGTAAAGGGATTGTGTTGGTCAGCCTTTCTCGTATGTAGCCCATGTGAACTATTGCCTAGTCCACTGACTTTGGGTGACTTGAGGACGCTGTTAGTGATATCAGCGTTTCCTCACACCTCACCATCTACGACTGACTACCCTCAATGGTGTCCTTTGGGTAACACTATCCTTTTACTTGCGACGTAGAAGTTGGCAACTTTGATAGGCTGCGCAGGCATGATTCGCATTTTTGGTTGGGTTTTGGCAAATGAGTACTGTATTGGAGGTGCTGGTCTAGTGATTGAGAGCTGCCAAATTATCGGTCGCAGTCAGAGCATCGGAACTCAGCTGCCTCCGTAGTACCTGAGGCCGTAACACGTGATAGAGTGGACGTAGATCATATCGGACGATAAGCTGTTCGTCTCGATGCCGTCAGCGTACCTCCTGCAAGAATATCCTAGGTTTCCTGTGTTCTACAAGGACACGTTTCTAAAAGCGGTGGACGGTGATAGGAGGTTCTGTTCGCTGTTCCTTGTTATTGCGCTCATGGCAGAGGCCTGTGTGCGTCTTATATCTCCCCGGGCAATTACAGAGTCAGGTTATTGGTGATAGATATAGCACTGCCACTCCGGTATTCTATTCTCAGTCCCTCTCAACACTGGGATCCAATTAGCTTAGACTATCGATTTGACCCCTCCGAGTTCTTGGAGCGGCATGAAGAGACCTGGTTACAACTGTTCTCAGGCCTGCACAATGAAAGGACAAGTCGACCGCTTAAGGACTGGCGGGTGTCCAAGCTGTGAGACCGCGGGATCGAAACAAGACAACAAGACCTGATAGCAGCTTCCGAGTCAAATGGCCCAATAGCGCCATGGCTGTCGTACATTGATTGACGAGAAGGGCCGCTTCCTTATACTCGATATTGTCGGTGAGATGATCAGGGAACATACCTCGCTTAGGTCTTGTTTTCGGGATCTGGCGGAGCCACAGAATGCCATCCTTGCTCTCAATCTTCGTGAGATCAATGTCATAAACCATCTCCCTGTACGTCAACAAGGCAGTCTTGAGGACCTTGGCAGCGCGTAGAAGTGTTGTTCGCCGGGACATATTGCGACACCTCTCCTTATGAGCCTCTCTTGTTTTGATCTGACAATCTCGATCACAGTAAAAAGTGTCCAAAGCATCGCCAGCCAAATACTCCGGTGCATCTTTGCACCCCGCACATCGCATAGTAGCAGGTTTGTCGCAGGTCGCACATCTTCCTAGAATTTGAGATGCCATTTGAACTACTCGATTAAGCCGGTCGAGTCATTGTAGACGTGTTCATAGCAGAAAGTGGCCACGAGGGTTGAAAGCTGAGGCAGGTGGTGTTGGATAGCGTGTGGATAATGTGTGGCTGGTGTGGTGTGGATTTATGAAGGATTTTGTAAGGGGCTTAACTAGCCACTTTTCTACGAAAGATAGGTACCCTCAAACTGCCCCCTAGACGTCGACGTTTATCACGCTCATCCTGTCTGTCGCTCGTTTTTCACAGGACCATTGCCCGTATTAAACATAAGGGCGAGCACCGGGTTGAAGTTCGCCGTCCCTCGTTCCTCTCCGTAGAGTC